AGGGTCTTATGGAGGCTTTTTCTGAACTGAGGCTCCCTCCTTTCAGACGACTCTAGCTGTGTCAAGCTGACATAAAACCATCAAGCACATCTACCTTGGACCAATGAAAACTGAATTTCTCTGGGTGTAGGGGAACGTCTCTATCTCTAAAGAATCCACAGGCATTCTGGAAGAGAGTGAGCCACAGAACAGGAACTGCTTAATGAGCAGATACAGCCATGGAATGAGTTATAGGGCCTGGCCATTGAGCAAAGGCTTGTTTTATTGATCTTAACAGCAGCCTCATTTTATAAAAGAAGAAACTGAGGCCCTGAGTCCTCAAGCATTTGTTTGAAGGAATATGGAAGTCAAGGGACAGTTGGGGAGAAACAAGACATTACGTTTTAAACTAAACACTCCAGTTCTTTGATGCTTCCTTCAAAAAGGTGGAACCTAATTCCTCCCTCTGGATTTTAGTGACATGGAGGTACCATGTGTACGCAACAGTCATAGAAGACATCGTGGCTTTCAGTTAGCTGTCTGTGTTCCATGGCTCAGCATTCATGTTGTAGGAATACCTGGGTAGCCTGTGGGGAAACTCATGGACAAGGACCCAGGGTGTCCTGCCAATAACAGCCACGTGGCTGTACCTTTCTGGCTGTGGATCTTTAGCTCCAGCTCAGTCTGCAGATGTATATGCTGGCTGCAACATTACAGAACTGCCAACTGGACCACTCCCAGTTCCTGGCCCTCAAAGGCCCGTGAGAAAGTCACAATGCTGCTCTAAGCTGCTGGGACCATTTGTCACAGCCACAGATGACTAAGGCACCTTCTAGACCTCTGTCATTTCAGCTACACACCATGGGGGAGAGGCTTTCACATGGTACCCACTTGTAGGCTCCAGAACTTCCACAGGCACTCTGCCCACAGTGCTGGAGGAGCTAATGATTTAAGCAGATAGAGACTATGAATAAACACACAGACGGGCACTGGAACAGCGTGGGTCCCAGCCCACAGCCAGGCAGCCCCGGGGTCCTCCCTCCTCTCTCAGCCCTGCAGGCATCCAATCAGTCCTTCTGGCTGGCTTTTATGGCAACATTCCAGCCACTGCCCTCTCGAACCCACCAACTGTGAGAGCCCACGGGCAGAGTAGGTTCAGAAATGGGTGCAACCTTAGGCTGGGGCAGGGTGCTGCTTCTGCTGCCAAGCATTGGCAAGCCAGTGGCTAGACAAGGTTACTGGGTTTTCCCCAACTCTGCTTGCCTTGGCTGTGACTACACTGCAGGGAGAATTTATCTGGCTAATTTGAACATAAAACAAACAACCTTTACCTGATATGTTAGTCACCAAACAATGGCCCAGAAAATAGATGGGACTCTTGGACTGAGGGGTGGAGAGACCAGAAGGTCTCTTCTCTCCTCTCTTGTCCTCTCCTCCCTCCCCCTTCTGTTTGGTTGCCAAGACTGTAGCCCAGGCTGGCCTTGAACTTGCTTCATTCTGTCTCAGTTCCTAAGCAGCTGGGATCGCAGGTCTGTGCAGCCATTGCTGCTGGATATTTCATTGTGTGTACTTTTCTCTTTCTCCTTATCCAACTCTTTTGGGCAGCTAGATTATTCCATTTGCTTTCTTGTCTTTTCTTTTAGTCTCTCTGAACTGTGCAGACTAAGAACAAGGCAATCCGGGCTCTGTATTCTCAGAATTTTCTATAAGGCCATCTCACCAAATATTTAGGATGCCATCTCCTACCTTGTATAGAAATGGGCCATAGTAGTAGTGATCCCTTCCAGAGGCTGTCAGGGGTAGAAGGGAAGTGCTGAGCTCAGACCCAGAGATTTGGGCTCCACCAGCCTCAGCAACCTCAACTGAATATCCCAGGCTATCCTAAACCTGTACCTAGGTTGTGCTGGAGAAGTCTTTGCTTCAACTACAGCCTGTAGAGCGGCCCATGCTGTCTTCCCTGGTGCTAGGGACACTGAATGAAGATTGTCCTTTTAGGGGACAGTGCGATGGTGAGTCCACACCCAGTTATGTCCTGAGCCACAGGTTCAATGTTCATGTTAAGAAAAATGTGTCATCAAAACTCATCTCGCTGGCATTTGATTTTATGAACATAACAACTTTTTGTGGGGCCCATGGTCATTTTTACATGACATTTTCCACTTAAGCTCTTGCCCACGAAGGGCATGACCAGCAGACCCAAGCATCCCCTTTCCACAAAAGGCTCAACACTCTATCCCCCTCTAGGGGACCAGCATTCACACCCACCCATTTTCCAAAGAGGAATTCTAAGAAAAACAAAAGATGCCACGTATTGACTCTGGCTTCCGTGTTAGGAACTGTGGTCCCCTTTACTGATGTTACTTTAATTTTTTTTAACCATGAAAACTAGATTCCTATTTTTCACATTATGGCACCAGACTTCCAAAGGAGAAGGACTTGACCAGGCTGTGGCGGTGCTAGAGTCCAGCTCGTCCACTGTCTGAGCCGCCTCTGGCCTTTCTGGAGGAGAGTCAGGATCCAGAGGCTGTGACCCAGCCTCCTGGACACCCTCCAGGCAGTGCTTATTGGCTCCCTTAGCATTGTCTTTACACAGGTAACCTGAGTCCCACCTAGGCAAAGCAGCAAGGTCCAGGGCCCAGGGGTAGCAGGTGATGATGCACTGAGGTTGTTTGTGGCATTGAACATGTGGAGGCAGGGAGAGTGGAGGAGCAGGAAAAGAGAAGAACTGAATTCTGGGAAAGGGTCAAGGTCAAGTGTTAGAGGGAGTGATACAGAGTAAGCTCTTGCTGGCCACCGTTCTCCAGCTCCCTGCCTCCCACGACACCTTCCATCTGCTGAATACAACTGGAAGCCAGAAGGGGCCTATCTAGTATAGCCAGTAGGTTAATCTCCTATGCTTAGCACTTGGGGACAATGGGTTGGGAGAGATTTGGATAAGTTTGAGCACACAGGGGTAATACCTGTGGCTTCTACACATGGTATGCACGCCTCAACCTCAGGTAAACAGACGGCTGCAGAAGGAAGGAAACTCATCCGTTCCCATGCCAGCATTAGAGGCAGGGCCACAGCCAAAGCCCCGGGAATGAATTGAGGCACAGGACTGGGGTCAGAAGCTTGGAAAAGCCCCCAGAAAGAGAGCCTTCAGAAGAGTCTTTGGTGGCCAAAGGGACATGAGGTGATTGGCCCAACATGGGCAGAGTGGCAGATGATGTCTGAGGAGTGGGCCTGGCAACACCGGGCAGGCTGACTTGTGCTGGCAGGGTTTCTCAGGGTGCCATCCTGAACCAAAGAGGGAAGTCACAGCTGTCCTCCTCTGGAGGGAATTCTGCAGGTGGGGCAGATGACACAGAGAAGGAGGAAGCAGCCCTGGCTAGAGAATACCTATTAAACCAAGGTTTTCCATAAAGAAGTTTTAGATAATGTGCAGATCTGAGCCCGAGAGCCCTCACATGCCCCAGTGCTTTCTTCCTGTTAAGTTCATGCCGTCATATGTGGTCCATCTTACGAACTGGCACTGATGCCTCCCTGCTAACTACAGACTCTCCTTTATTCGAATTTCCTCACTGATGACTGCCACTCCCTCTCTCTTCCAGAATCTGACCCAGGACACCAGACGGTGACTGATGATTTTTCAGACTTTCCTTGTGTTGGATGCCCATGACTGCTTAGAAAGCACTGTTATTGGTAGAATTTCCTAAAATGGACCTTGTTGAAAGTTTCTCTTATGAATTTTTTTTGTGGGGAGAGCACAGAGACAATTCGCCTCACATCCTGTCCAAAGTGCAGAGTCAGCATTATTTTTCACGTCTGGTGATCACTGCAACACCAGATAAGGCATAGGATGTCAGCTGTACCTTCTCCACACCACACTCTTTGGGGGCATCCCAAAGTGCACCGCCACTGAGGGGTAAAGAAGATGTTTTCCTCCTGAAGATAGACAGTCTATCCACTTGAAATTCTTCTGAAGCATAGATTTATCTTCATTTATTTATTTATTCATTCAATTATTTATTTATATCAGAAAAACATATGGGCAATTATAGTAAATTCTCTATTTAATCCAACACCACAGTGTATATTTTGTTGCTCATTTTCTTTTTAGTTTTTTCAAGACAAGGTTTCTTTGTATTGCTTTGGAGTCTTTTTTGTTTCTTGAGACAGGGTTTCTCTGTGTGGCCTTGGCTGTTCTGGAACTCATTTTGTAGATCAGGCTAGGGTTTCTCTGTGTGGCCTTGGCTGTTCTGGAACTCATTTTGTAGATCAGGCTATCCTGGGACTCACAGAGATCTACCTGACCCTGTCTTCCTAGTGCTGGGATTAAAGGTATGCACCACCACTGCCCAGCCACTCAATTTTTTTTCAATTAATTAGTTTTTGAGGCAGGATCTCACTCTAGTTCAGGCTGACCTTGAACTTCTAGCAATCCCCCTGCGTCAGGCTCCCAAGAATTGGGATTTATAGATGGGCACCATCATGCTAGTCTATTGCTGGTTTATGCATTTATTGTGGAAGACTTCCTTATTTTCATCGTAAGGTGGTCTAGGATCGGCTTGTGTTTTCTCTGCCCCCACCGAGGGCTTCTTGTCCCAGGTACAGGCTTGGAGAATGGGTCTAGGTGCTGACTGAAGACACGTCAGTGCACGAGGAAGGGCAACTCCATGCAGTCGACGGTATTTCTATACCTCTGTTTGGGACAAATGGGGATCATGTTTGTGGGGGGTGCCTGTGCTGTGATGGGCAGGTCAGCAAGAGTGAACCACTGACTGGTGTTGTTGGTCACACTCTTCTATGAACCCCACTCCAGTTTTTCTAGAGTAGATCAAACTAAAGTGGACAGGGATGACGTGGACACCTGCCAGGAGGTCCATCAACCCCTACACTGCAGGGGACTCCTGATGTTGACATAGCACAGGGGCTTTGCCAACAAACCAGGACAAAAGGAGCTGACTTGTGTAGCAGCTGATTTAGTGAGAACAGTGACCTCATCCTTTGTGACGGTCGCCTGTGCTGCGCAGGGGCAGAGGTGACATCCGTGAGGTTAGAGACAGAGGCTCTGGTGTGGACTGCCTGACATGGTGCTAACTGCTGGATGAAGTAAGGGCTTCACACCAATGTGGCTTCCCGGGACTTTGTCAGCAGCCGGTGAAAGCTCCACAATAGATTTCTGAAGTGTGGGGTTCCCAGGGCTTTGATGGGGTTTGAACCTCCTGCTGACAAATGCTGAGGCTGGCAGCGACTTTGTGTCCAGCAGTGGATTTTATAAATCGATGCAAGTTGTGAATGTATTAGAAATATTTGAGATGTGAGCTGCAGTGAAGTCTGATCTGAAGGAATGAGTTTTGAAGTCATAGGACGCCAGATTTTGCCCAAGGCTGGGCGATTCTCACTATGGAGACAAGTTCCCCATAAGGGCAGAGAAAGGGAAAACTCCAGCTTGAAATCGTATTACCCTACATGTACATACATGCATAGACACACACACACACACACTCACTCACACAGAGGAGAGAGAGACACACACACACACACACAGAGAGAGAGAGAGAGAGAGAGAGAGAGAGAGAGAGAGAGAGAGAGAGAGAGAGAGAGAGAGACCGCTAGAAAAGTAACCCAGGATAAGACCTGCCATAAGGCAATAGGGGCTTGAGGCCACCTAGCCAGACTATTGAGTTGCATGGTTCAGGCAGTGTGGCTGTGAGTGAAGCTCTGCTAGCTTTTCCTTCTGTAGAATACACAATGCTCCTCAGCTTGCTATGAGCATCAGTGACAACACACATGCCACATCTAATCACACGCTTTGTCAGCTTCTGCAGTACAGGGAGGACGGGGCGGGTCAGGCTGGTGCTCGCAGTGACTTCAGGAGCCCACCATTCTTTCACCTCAGTACACTGTGACCTCTTCCCATTTGCCTTCATTGTCCAGATGGTTCTATAGGGAGAGGATCCTAGGGAGGACCACGGCCCCTCATGTGAGAGCTCTGCAGGGAGAGGAGTAAAGGTTTTCTCACTCCAACCTCAGCAGAGCACACTGTAACATAGTAATGAGTATTCATCAAGTTCTAGGCCATATATGTATATATACTATATTTAATATATATGTGCATGTGTGTAAGTAAATATATATACACATATGTACCTATATATAATTGTGTCTGTCACATTGTATGTGAGTTTGTGTGAGTGATCGTGTGCACGTATGAGTGTGTATGTGTGAATGTGCACTAGAGATTGTATGCAAGTGTGAGTGTGTGAGTATAAGTGTGTATGAGTGACTGCGCATGTGCAAGTGTGTGATTGTGAGTGTGTATGTGTGTATGAGGGCTTGTGTGTGTTAAAGAGTCATTAAGTGAGCAATGCTGTGTGTTAAAATGAGTTCTGAAGTGAGAGCTGCTTCACACGGAACAGGGCTGTGGAAAGGTCACCTTGATACAAACTGGAGTCACCTGGGAAGTGGGACCCTCAATCGAGGAATTACCTTGATCAGATTGGCCTGTAGGGACATTTTCTTGATTAGTAATTGATGTTGGAGGGCCCGTCTCACTTTGGGCAGTTCCAAGCCTGGGCGGGTGGTCGTGGTTGTGTAAGGAGGAAGGCAGAGTGAGCCACAGGGAGCCGAACAGTGCCAGGAAGCAGCACTGTTCGTCATGGTTCCTTGCCTTTTCTCTTGCTTGATCTCCTTTCCTGATTTCCCCTAGTGATGGGCAGTGTTTGGGATGTCTAAGGAAACAAACCCCTTGCTTCCCAAGTTGCCCTCACTCTGTTTTCTCACAGCAACAGACTAGAGCAGGGGGGCTTCTCCGACAGGATGTTGTGTTAACCAAGACCAGAAGCAGTACGTGACAAACAAGACAGAGAAGGAGGGACGCTACTTGAAGTGGTAGGAGGAGTGCCAGGCAGGTGAATGAAGCTGGGTGTCTCTGGCGGGAAGGCGGCTAAACCAATAGCTCGCTCTGTCCCCATTCAGTGACGCTGTCCCTTAACTTCGGATCCTGGTGGCATTCTGGGTTCCAGCTGTATTGATAATTGTTTCTGGGAAGACAGACACCTCAGGTAGATTTGACCATGGAGAAGCCACAGCGCATAGCTGCCAAGCCCTCTTGACTCTTAAACTCAGCCTGAGTGTGTGTGGTCTTGGGAGGACATGAAGCACGTTGTGTCTTGTTCAGGGGTGTGCCTACTTCTGGTGTTTTTAGATCTGTTACACCCCCAGCGGCCCTCGCCTTGGTGTAATTGGGAGGTGGTGGAACACCTAAGAGGTGGGCCAGGTGGGCGGTCTTTGGGTCACTATGGTATACTTTAGAAGGGACTGTGGGATCCCATCTCTTCCTCTCTCCTTCCTGGCAGGTGAGCAGCTCTGCCCTAACACATGACTCCAGCGTGGTGTGCTCCCTTCCTGAGAAACCAAAACCTGTTCTTCCGTATGACTGGACTAGAACCTCCAAAGTTGTGAGCCAAATACTCCTTTTCTTTTTTATAAAGTATCTCAGACATTTGATATTGTAGCAGAACCTAACACACACCTACCTTGTTTCACAGAAATCTGCCCCAATGTCTCTGCTCAAGCAGCGTGCCTACTGAGGCTATACCAACCCCATACCAACCGTAGCAGGACACCTCCAGCCTGATTTTTTCACTGAGGATGGGGCAGCCCCGGAATCATCATAATCTATCGTGATTCTGATATCGATGTTTGAAAACATGCCCACCGTAGTCTGCGCTCTGCCTTGGGGCAGTGGTGGTGGTGGTGGCAGGGGCGGGGGCGGGGCCGGGAGTGGGTGGGTAGCGGGGAAAGGGCCTGAAATAAAGGCTTACACTTTCTGCTTGTGTGATCTGCACCCTCCATCTCCGAACAGCATGTGTTCAGAGGCTTGGACAGCCAGCGAGTGCCTCCTGATGCATCCTGGGAACTCAGCGGTACCCAGGACTGTAGACATTTGTGTTAGGACAAATTCTCCCCACAGCCAGTAGTTACAGGTCAAGCTCGATTTCAGTACAACCTGTAGCATCTCGCCTCCCAGGACTGGCCTTCCGTGGAGCCACCATCAAGCTGAAGGCCGTGTCCCCGCACTAAGATCGCGCCCCCTTACTAGGAAAGAGTTCTTGGGCACGGTGCCTCATTCCCAGAAGCCTTCCTTTTCCGCATAGGGTATGAGGGAAGGTGGGAGAGTTGAGACTTACTACCCGTCAACAGAGGGCTGCGGATGGGTTTGCACACAGTGGTCACACACGGGGCCACACAGCCAGCGCCACTCACGGAGCTTGCATTTTTGTTAGTCTGTGAATCCTATCACTTCCATAGAAAGTAGGGACAAATCTCTTATTTCTTTTAGTTTTCACCAGATTTTGAGCAAGATTGTAGTTCACTATTCTTCAGCAGATGCATAGCCCCAATCCCCTAGGAAAGCTTGGGACCCTGTCTTCCTTTAGGGCCACCAGGGTGAATAGGAAAGATGGCCACCAAAACCGTTGAGCCCACGATTCTAGAGTCACATACAGAGACCATTCTGATGAGAACCCAGGGAGGCTGTGGGACCGTAAGATCCTTGCTGAATACAGGAACACTTGGGAGCAGAGCAGATGTCTCCAGAGCCCCTTTGCTTCGTTTTACTGTTGCTGCAGAACGTGTGTTGGTCCTCAGAGAACAGTGCCTTTGTCACTGTCTGGATTCTGTTTATTCTGTAAACCCTAGGAGGAGCCCAACATTCTACTGATCCTGGTTTTGCAATCTTCACAAATTAAGTATTTGCCTTCAAAAGCAACAACTGTGATAGCATCAGGGTAATATTCTAAAGCACCGTTTCCTCACACGCCAAGCACAGAAGTTAAGGCAGCATGCTGTGGGTGGTCTGTTTGGATAATGGTTTTCATGTGGAAACCTCAAATTGGAAACGAACTGGAGGGCATTCTGGAGAAAGTGAGGTGTCCTGAAAGTGAGCTTCCCAGAACTGACTTGAACCAAGAGTCTCAAGTGAGTGAAGTTTCCTTGCCCAGTTTTCTGCCTATAAAATGGGGGAGTAATTGCTTAATGGCTTCAGAAGGTGACCAGGAAATTTGGGAACCACTGGGGTCAATAGGCTGTGTGTGCATTCACCCTTCAGGAAGGGTCTCTCTCCAAAGTTTTGTAAACTAAAATCCAAAAGGATTTTCACTGAATGGAAATCAATAGTTATTGGAAATTTTATTTCCACAGTGGAAACCCCCCCAACAGCTGGGAAAAACAGTGAGGGCACAGAGGAAGCCAAAGGCCAGCTGCGATGCCCTGTCCCCACAGTGCTCCTGGGAGTCAGGCTGTCTGCTAGGGAAGGCGTGTAAGTGATGACACCAGTGTCTGCCCCACCCCCTCTGGAGAGAGGCTATCTGCTGAGGAGGGAGTGACAAACCTAGGGTGCCCTCCTGCTCCCTTCACAATGGGCAGGTGGCTTTAGACATAGCACTTTGGCTCTTTTAAAGGAAAGCATCTCTTTAAAAATATTAATGAAATATCTTGCATTTCAAAATGTAGAGGAACATTTTCTTTTTGATACCACCCTTGAGTGCAATCCATAGAAGACCACGGTCTCTGCGAATGACGGTGAATGATAGAACATGCTGAGTGACGGCAGGTTCTAGGTGCACCTTCTGAATGGAGGTAAACATACGGCTCCTCTTGCCCAGCCCTCTGCAGAGCCTGTTATGGTCCCCACGGCTCCTGATCTAGTTCTCTCCCAAATCAACTATGACTGTCCCTTAGACTTTACTTTTTTATTGTCACTGCTGCTGTTGTTTTGACAGGACCCCACTATGTAACCCTGGCCTGGAACCCACTATGCTGGTCTTGAACTCGCAGAGATCAGCTTGCCTCTGGCTCCTGAGTGTTACTGGGATTGAAGGCACGTAACACCGCACCTGCTTCATAGACTCTACTTTTATTTCTTCAAATCTATGTCTTACTTGATATTTCTTAATTTTTTGACTTATTTTTCTGGTTATCAGTTCAATTTCCAAATGATTTAAAAATCTTTGGAATTCTCATTTGGAAAGTGGTCAGGTCTACAGATCACCCGTTCAGTATCTTCATTTTGTGTGTTTCATAGAGTCTGGAAACAGCGCTGGTAAACTTTACATTCATTATGCTTGTTCCTACCTCAAATGCCTTTAACCTTTTACTATCTGAACATGTGAGACTAGAGAGCTTGGGGTGTAATGGCCAGTCTTCATAACATAGCAGAGATTTACATTATTTCTTTAACGTTATTTTTAAGTTAGCATACAAAGTAATGTATGTCACTCTCATGCATACATGTCCCTCTCTGTTCAATCTGGTCTCCATCCTTTCCCCAAATAGTGCCCCCTTCTGCCTTTATGTCTGAACTAATACAGCTACTGTGGACAGTCTGGTGGCTTTGCACAAAACTAGAAATGGAATTGACAAATAACCCAGCTCAACGTAGAGCTTTCAAAAGAAGAGCTTTGATAATTTTCTGCTTGTCACCAAAATGGGGATAGCTCATTTTCCGTTCATTATCTAGTTTTGCGTACCTTTTAACAAAGCACTTTATACCAGGATTTATAATGATTTGGCAAAAGTCTCTGTTGTTTAAGAATTTGTCTTTTAGTGGCTTGTATATAGATATCAATTAGTATCTGTTCACAGTACTTTTTTATTTTTGAGACAGTGTCTCATGTAGTCCATGCTGACTTTGAACTCGCTATGTAAGCAAGGATGACTTTGAACTTTCTGACTCTTCTTCCTCTACCTCCCAAGTGCTTGATTACGGGCACATATCTCCAAGTGCTGTTTTATGTGGTGCTGAGGGCCGAGCCTCAGGCTTCATGCGTGTTAAGAAAACATGCTACCACCTGAGTCATCTCCTCAACCAGCAATATGGATCTTTACGGATCTAGAATACCCAGCACAGTTTGACTCCCATGTGCCCATGCTTCACTGCTATAGGCAATGCTAAGGTGATTGTAGTGACTCGCTAGTGAAGGTAGCTCCTTCCTGCGAGCAGAGTTTGGTTTACTGGCTGGGAATCCAGCTTGCTGGTGCTGTGACTGGGGCTAACAACACAAACTCCTTGGCTAGTCACCTATACAAAACCACAGGCATTTTCAGAGCCATCAAGGAGGAAGGGTCTTCAGCAAGTGTGCGTTCTACTCGGACAGCCAGCCTGCCTTACACTATGAGAACTCAGCTATCTATAATGAACAGGTACTCTGTCCACAGAAGGGAGACTTTTCCAGCTGGCGCTGGTTTGCTCAGTAACTTAGGTCATGTTGATGTGTGAGCATTGCCTTGTCCCCTAGTGTGTGATTAGGACAACTTTGATAGAAGGGACTCGGTTAGTTAATGGGTTAGTTAATGGTTAGTTAATGGTATCCCTGCGGGATACCCACACACAGTGGTGAAGGAAGAGGCTAGACTGCAGACACTACAAACTAAAGGCTCTCTAAACATATTCTGAATGAATGGTTCACCCTGCCAGACCCCAGGACAAAGCTGCCTCCTTTCTCTGATTGTACAGAGCCAACCACTCTGAGCAAGACCTTGTGACACCCTAGGACAGTGGTTCCCAACCTTCCTAATGCTGCGGCCATTTAATACACTTCCTCATGTTGTGTGACCCCCAACCATACATTTTTTTTGTTGCTACTTCAGAACTGTAATTTTGCCACAGCTGTGAATCATAATGTAACTGCTTGTGTTTTCAGATGGTCTTAGGCAACCCCCATGAAAGGGCCTTTTGACCCCCAAAGGGGTGGCAACCCACAGATTGAGAACCACTGCCCTAGGACAAGGATGGAAAGTTAAATATAGTGAAGTCTCATTCATTGGTATTATCAGAAGCCAAGGAACTAGGATGCCTGAACCACATCCATTTAGAAAATTTCTCTTAGATCATATTAGACACAATAGTCTGTATTTGCCTATGTTTGACAGGCTTTTTTCCCCTTAAAACTATTAAAAGCTCCAAAATTTCTAATCTCTCTCCAGTGACCAAACCTTTGCCACTATGGTTCACCACAATCAGAAGTTCAACTGTTTCTTGGGTCCTCATGTGATCAGGACAGGAAGTGAGGGAGTGTGTGGCTGGAGTCAGCATAACCATGGCAATTAATAAGAAGTAGTGAGTTGCTCATTCCGGCACTGGTGGAAGACAAAAGTTCTAGACCCAACCCAAATCCCAACTACAAGTTACATGTCCAGCATGATGCCTGTGCCTGCTGAGTTCTCCATTCAATGCAATGATTAGCGTTCTCATGGTCATTATTAGGTATGTGGCTTTAAGCAAGTCAGAGGACTTCTAGCCAGAGGCTGCTGTCCTGGCGTCTTCCTCGATGGCTTTCTGTTCACTAAAACCCCATCTCCTCACTGAATCCAGAGCTCAGTATTTGACTAGCCTAGCTATTGGCCCAGAGGTTTCCCCTGCCTCCACTTTCATCTGGGTCCCGGAGATCTGAATTCTGGTCTTTGTGCTCATACAACAAGTGAGTTATCTACTCAGCCATCTCCCCAGAACTCTTTGCTTTATTAAAAAAAAATAATGACCCTGTAGATCAAATAAAAGTCCTGCTTAAAATGTTCAAATTTGAGGACTGCCTGGCAGGGGAATGATGGAGGTGACGGCTGGAGCTTTTGTTTCCTAATTGCTAAGTGAGTTTAATGTGGGTTAATTAATGATGCTATTGGTGAATGGAATTAGCTAATGCAAAACTCAAAGCATCATCAAAGGAGCAAACAGGCAGGTGCCATCTAGGATAATTGAGGGAACAGAGGCCAGAGTAGAGCTGCTAAGGGTTGTGCACCAGGCTGCTAGGCAGGCCAGGGGAGTAAGGGAAAACCGAGCCATTTAAGCATTGAGGCTGGCTGCCAAAATGCCACCCTGTTTACAGCTCCCGTGTTTGAATTTTAGATTTGCTTGAGTCTTTGAAGCTGGGTTCCTGGGCCTTTCCTTGAGAATAAATTCCATTCTTTGGAAACCACAAAGCACACTCCCATAGTCCCCAGAAGGAACGTGAGCTGACCTAGCTTCTGTAAGGCCCCTTGGGACCTAAGGGACCTTTTCATTAGAAGATGCTCCAGAGTGAGAAGAATCAACCTGGGCTTGTGCCCTATGGATGGGGTGTATGTGTGTGTGTGTGTGTGTGTGTGTGTGTGTGTGTGTGTGTGTGTGTAGGGCCAGGTCTATCTTCACTCTCTGAGCAAACATGGGGTGGCCTCACAGTGGCAGCACTGAGCCGGGCGCAAAGACAGACACTGTCAGGTCTTCACAAACACTGATTCTCCCAGAAGACACAGAAACAGAAAATGTCCCCCTCCCCTGCCCCACCTGCACTGCTGATGCATGAACTGTGAGTTTCATAGCTGGGCAGCATGGCACACTGCAGACTGTCAGCTGTCACCCTTTCCTACACTGGAAAGTTGCAGCTGGCCTCCTGCTGCTGGTCAGCATCCGAGGTAAGTGTGTATCCCCAGCCAGGAAAAGGGTACACATTTAAACGGTGAAGTACAATTCCTACTGGGCGCCAGTCGCTTCTGTACTATCACAGAGAGTCTGTGTGGGACCCTCTATACATCTCCTCGGCACAGAACAAAACAAGTGGCAACGACAAAAGCCAACAGACCGACCAAAGATAATGCCCAGAGAGTAGGCATATTACTTCAGCAAAGTTCTATTTAGTTTTTCCTTCTGGAGATGTGACCTTCCAGGGTTACCCTCCAACAGTGCCATCACCAACTGAGAGGGAAAAATCGAAAGAGGCACAAAGCACCCTGCTGTCTCCAGGGAGGGTGCTTATGGTGAGTCATTGGGATGCTTCCAAATGTTAAGTCCTCCAAGTCACTCTCTTAAAGTGACTGTGACCTAGAATGTCTGTCACATATCTGAATGTCCCTGTCCTTTCCCATCCTTTATGCCCTTTTTGCCTCTTGGATACTTTGAACAAATCTCAGTTTCACTCTGGGTTTAAAAATGTCCCCAAATGCCACTCTAAAACAGCAGGGTACTGGAAGAAGTTGATCCTGTCACACTCCACATGTCTCTCCGCTGTCATGTCAGTCCTGCTGGGGTATGTGTCCTACTGTCTGTGTCCAGCACCCTGACTGACCAGGACTTCTGCTCTTGTCACCTCTCTTGCCTTAGCTGCCCCCTGGGGCTGTAGGTCCAGAGCAGCATAGCAGGGAGACACTAGCAGGGACCTCACCTGCTGTCCCATCTGCCCTGAGAGCACACATTTTGCCTTGTGGGAGCCTCTCCTACAAAGTCTGGAAAATCAAACCCTACCCGGTGCATGAGGTCCATCCACCTCAGATGCCTCAGAACCTTTCGGCTGGAAATGAAAACCTCAAGTGTCACAAAGACCTATCCACCATTCTCCCTCCCTCTACTCTGACAACATGGGACTTTGACATTGGGTCTCAGACTTTAGTGGAATCCCACACTGAACAGCTAGTCTCTTAGGACATTGAAACTACCCCGGTAGAGGCAGGTAGAGAACCGAGCCAAAGTCCCAGGTGCTGCTTATCTTCTTCAGTGAGCCACTCTCGGGAGCAGGCGGAGAAACACTGTTCTGGCCCCTACACCTCCACGGACGGCCGCACGTGTAGTTTTAGTAGCATAAATACCACAGCCTGCAACACACAGTTTGGCGCTCTAACCAAAGTGCACTCAACGGCAGAATGGGTTTCTGATGTTTTCTTCAAAACAAAGGAACAACCTCAGGTCTGCGAACTGGTAGCACAGACACTCAGTAATCAGGAACGCTTGTCCAAACGTAACCCAAAAATGACACGCATTTCAAAAATGTACTCGGGATGCTTCCTAGCCGAGGACAGCTCGGTTTCGTCCACAGTTACAGAGTACGGAAAACCAGCAAGAAAGGACCAAGGCTTACCTGGTGCCCGAGTGAGGTCAGCTTCTCCTCGCAGCAGAGGGAGGAGGGGTCTACGAAGAGGAAGATGGCAAGCAGGTAAGGGATGAGGGCAGGCTTCACAAGTTGTCTCCAGCGTCCTCTCTGAAGCAGGTGCTCCACAATCCTGGGGCCAGCCGGTGACAGCGACCAGGCGCACCTCTGCCACCAGCTCCACTAACTTTCTAGTTTGAAGAGCTCCCGGGAACTTTTCTCTTGACTGCTCCCAGTCCTGTCTGCGCGTTTACTAACAGTCGCGGGCGGTGGAGAGGAGAGGCGTCCCCTCGCTGCAAACCCACCCGTGCCACCTAGAGGCCGCGACAGGCACCGGCAGTGCTGGAGTCTGGGCACGCCAGCCTCAGGCTCTGCCGCCAGATGCACCTGGCTGCACACGACTTCCTGTCCCTTAAGGGACAAGCTGGAATGTGTAAAAAGGATTGATCTCCCCGCCCCCCGAATGTGTGGGGGTCTTGAGCCTATCAAAACAACCTGGGCCTTTGGGCACAAGAGTGTTGAAAGGTGAAATTTGCATGAAGTTGTCATTAATCAGAACCGAAGCCCAGCCCCCTCCCTCAGATGGTTACAGGCATGAATACTGTTACAGTCACTCACTCTTCTTCATTCAGCCTAGAATACATTTGTGCATATTTCCAACCCCTCCCCCACTGCCCTCTCCCAGCCACCACAGGTTCCCAGCATCTCCTCAACCCCTTCCCTACCCCCATGTACTCCATGTCATTCTAGGTAACCATACAGACTCCAATAACTTCAGATAAGCATAGGAACTTCCTGTAACTATAGATGAGAGCACTTGCCTCATATAAATACATACTCTGCCACTCCAGGGAAGTATATGTATCCTACAGAACTCTTGAGAGCCATACGTATCCCCCACGCTTCCAGATAAGTATATATGCTCTGATAACCTTATATACATATGCCATGTGATTAGATAACCAGGAGACATGCAAAGTGCAGACCTATCAGTATTGATTAATTCTTTTTCAAAAAAAATTATCCAAAGAACATGCCTGGCCTTAAAAGAATGTAACAGCCCCGTGCCTTTCTCCCTCAATGCCATGATCCCCGTGAGTAAAGGAGTGAGTGGGACCTCTTTTTCTTCATTGTTACAGGATTTCTCTGTGTAGTCCTGGCTGTTCTGGAACTTGTTTTATAGACCAGGCTAGCCTCTGGTCTGCCTGCCTCTGCCTCCAGAGTGCTGAGATTAAAGGCCTGCACCACCAAGTCTGCCTAGGGTGCAGACTTATATGCACTCCGATTCCTTCTTGCTCCCTCTGCCTTAGATACGCGAAGAGGGGGGTGTTGGTAAGAAACCCAGATGTCAGCATGCAGGACTGGGGCAGGGATCCTAAACTTAATGACTTAGCTTGCTGACCAGTGTGGACAGCTCATCTAGACAGGGCAGACGCCCCTCAGTGTTCAGGCTTGTCTATCTACATTTCCCAGACCGAATCTACAGTGAGTTTGTGATACGTGAAAACCACTGTATTCAAGCAGGAACCGGGAAACCCAATGTGAAGTACTGGCTTAGTCTTCCCTGTGACGTATCACTTTTCACTTTTCAGCCTGCTTATTTTGAGAAGTGTATCTGAGGACAGAGATTTAATTTTACCTCTAACTTTTATTCCCTGCTGGACATCGGGTAATGCCTTTAAATTTACCGGAGCGAGATAGACGACATAGCCACTGCCACAAGACAGTAGAAAGGGAAGGGAATATGAGTCTGAATGAGATGATATTTAATAGGAAGCAAAGCAACACGTTCCCGTGGTCCTTTTATCCAAATCAGGATGTATGTGCAAATTAGTTCAATATGCTAAGATAATGAAGCAAGAGAGGTGACTGCTTATCCAGATCATTCGGAAACTCTGAAAATTCATTACTTTCTGTTTTGAGCATTTCCTGGAAGACTGACAGAGAAAGAGCAATATATTATCATAGCAGTTTTTTTTTTTCAAATAAGGTCACAAGTCAAGATTGTGGACCGTGGGACAAATGGGGTCTCTTGGTGCTATGGGGAATGTGATACAATTTAGAACGTATACTTGAGACACATAACTTAGCCCAGGATGGCCCGTCCCTTTCAGTAAATGTGTGCAGGTACATGATTGGCCGTGGGGCTCGCTGTTGGAGAGATTCCAGCCATCAGAGCCACTGTACCACCAAGTTGTCAGTGGCTTTGGAGGTCCAGGGGACATGCCAGTAGAAAACACACATGAGCTAGAAGAATGACGATTTATCAGAATTGACCACTTCTGAGCCATAGTCAAGGGCTGGGGAGATGGACCAGTTGATAAAGTTCTTGCCTTGCAAGCATGAGGACCTGAGTTCAGATCCCAGCTGTCATGTGAAAACCTGGGCACTCTGATGGGTATCTGCCATCCTAGCACTGGGGACACAGAGACAGACAGGTGAATATCTGGAGCTCACTGGCCAGGCAGGCTAGCCAAATCAGCTAACTCCAGGTTCGGCGAGAGAACCTGTCTCAAAAAATAAGAAGCAGACGAGTAAGGAAGATACTTAACATGGATCTCTAGGCATCATACACATGTGCAGACATATACACAGACTCTCTCTCTCTCTCTCTCTCTCTCACACACACACACACACACACACACCCAGAGCCCCGACACACATTCTGTTCTTTAGTATGTAAATTCTGTGTCTTAATTTCTAATCTCATGTCAACAGGATAGAAAGCCCATGACCCCCACGAACTCCACAAACTCCACAAACTCAACTGCTATGTAATGTGCCCATCATTTCATTCATTCAGCAAGTGCATACCAAGTGCATCTACCAGCGTTGCCAGGGGCTCAGTGTATCATGATGAGAAGACAGACAAAATGTGCCAGCCCTCGCCCTCAAGGAACTTATATTTGTTGAGGAGGCATCGAGTAGTCAAATGAATAGGAAATGCACTTCCTGTTGGTGACAGATGGGGGTAGTGGATACCTGCGTTTTGTGTGTGTGTGTGTGTGTGTGTGTGTGTGTGTGTTTTAGTCCACTGACAACATTTTCCTACTGTTTAATTACTGTCTGAAGGAAACATCAACTAAATACAGCAAACACATATGCCACCCCCCTGCCGCTCACCTGCCTTTGTTCACACCTCGGCAAGCCAGCTTCTTGTTACCTACAAACAGGGATCATTTCAACGGTATTCTTTCCAAAAACGCTGTTGTTTAAACCATGCAGTAGTGTATGAAGGTTGCATAAACTTCTAGCCTTTTTTTTTTAAATGTCCAGGGTCTGTACTTGGAAAGAGGAAGTTGTTCAGAATCAAACAATTACAGCCCAGGCTGTGGCCCAGCACACTCAGCAGCTCCCAGTCTGCCCCAGGAACCTTGTCTCTGCCCTGGGGCAGGGGGTGGGAGGTTGGGATGATGAGGAAAGCTAGGTCCTCAGCACATGGTCCTGTGCCTCTGCTATCCTAAGAAGACATATTTGTCTTCAGCTCTCTTCACGGTTTATACACAGGCTCTGGGCTCCTCAGGTAAAGGGTTAGCTAATCTTTTTTTTTTTTTTTTTTTTGGTTTTTATGAGACAGGGTTTCTCTGTATTGTTTTGGAGGCTATCGGTCCAGCCTGGCCTCGAACTCACAGAGATCCGCCTGCCTCTGCCTCCCGAGTGCTGGGATTAAAGGTGTGCGCCACCACCGCCTGGATGGGGTTAGCTAATCTTGAGTGGCGTTCAGACCCACCTCCACACTTAGTACAGCTCTGAGGTGGAAGTAGGGCAAGGTCATCTTAGGAACCACATGGTCAAGGACCTTGCTTTCCAAACAGACACCTAAAATGCCAGAAATGAATAGGTGGTGAGAAGGCGCCGGTAAGCAGGGGCAGAGGCGGCTGAGGGCACAGCAGGGACTATGCCACTGTTAACAGACAAGGGGAGTGCTAACTCTGAGGAGGAGATGGAAGGACCTGGCAATCTGTATGCTCATGTGTGGAGACAGGGCTGTTTGGAGTTGAATAAAGCTTGTATAGAGGCCCTGTGTGAAAGGACCAGGTGGATTGAAGAAGCTGAGAAAACCTGTGGGGGGTCACAAGACAGGGAGCTGAGCCTGCTTGAGAAGGGGGATGGCGCCTGCATCACAGAGCACCAGGCAAGTGACTTGGATTTTATGCAGAGTATAGGATAGTTTGACAATGATGGAAGTTTCTGGATGTGGAACAGGCTTCCATCCCTGGCAAAGAAAGGACAGGGAGAGACTGTGTTTGGGATGTGTTTGTGCCTTGGGCCTTTAGTCTATACTAGGTGCTCTCAGGGAGATGAAAGGCAGAGTAGACTGTGGATGAGCTCAGCACAAAATCAAAGGGACCACGCCAAGGTGGGAAACAGTTGGCTTCCAACTGATGTCTTTATCCCACTGAAGAATGAGGTTCTGTGTTCAGCTGTTTAAACTTTGCCATGGCAACATCCTCTTGCTAAGGAAATACGTTTGGCTTTCCCCTAACAGCCGACTTTAGCTCAGACTGCTGTAACAAAAATACTACAGCCTGTGTGGTTTAAACAAGCACTTGTTCATCACCTTTATGGAGGCTGGGAAAGCTGAAGCCAAGGCATCCAGAAGATTTGGTGTCTGCTAAGGAGCCACCTTCCCATAGAAGGCTGCCTTTTCATTGTAGCTTCATGGGACAGAAGGGCAAGGCAGTGGGCTGGGATTCCTTCTTTAAAGTCTTATTCTCCTGGGGCTCTGTCCTCATTATCAAATCACTCCTCAAAAGCCTAACCTCCTAACACTCGCCATGGATATCGTAATTTCAACAGAAGCAGTTAGTGTGCACACAGCCGGGCAAACCACAGTGCTATACGCTTGTGTAGGATTCCTACCTTGTATACTCTGTATCAGTTGCATCTGGAACATGGACATTGACAATGACTCTGCTAAATAAAGTACCAGGGAGGCACTGGGGTGGGTGCCTGTAGGAGACTGAGGCAGGCTGGCTGCTTGAATACTGGCTTGAGACAAAATTGAGACAAGACCCTATAAAGGAAAGAAGGGAAGGGGGGAGTGAGAAGTGGGGAAAAAGAATAGAATAGAAGAGTAAACCATAATTGTCTCTGATTTGTGGATGGAGAAGCCTCCAGGAAGGCCAAGGACTTTGTGAAGAACCCCGGTGAGTTTCCCTAGTGTTTCTGATTCGTTCTACTGCAGCCCTGGCTTATGATGATAGGCTCACCTGAGCCCTGGGTTATGATAGACTCACCTG